TCGAGCCGCTTTACCCCGAACGCGGAAGCTGAGGTGCAAAGAGCCCATTGTATGGAAGCAGGTGCTAAATGATTTACAATTCATTAGAAGGAATGATGATGAGCAGAAATGACTAATTGTGGTGTTTTAAATCACTGTTCTGACTGTATGTCTGAGTATCTACGCCACAGTCTACGCCCAAAGTTAGGGCCTGAAGACACTTTCCATTTTTTGTCATTATATTAGAGCTCAGCCATCGTTGACAGATTCCTGCTCCACCACAGGAGGGCAGTGATGCTCTATGGTCAAATTATCCCTTATAGAACTATGTGGCTACTGACTTAAATTTAAACATTTCTCTGTTTAAAAAACCCCCATAACTTTACAAGAACATTCTAATAACAATGTCAGACTGTAGAAAGTTATTTCATAAAAGCAAAATTATTTCAATTTCTGTTTAATTGGAGACCTGTTTGTCTTTTATTGAGCATTTTTCTGATTTAGTAATGCAATCAATTTCTACATTTTACTTCCATTGGATGGAAGTAAAATGTGTAGAACTGGTTTGCCACTGTGCATTTATTTTCTTTACATTGAGAATAGACTTTCATTTTACATTGTGCATGCATTTTTTATTTTTTATTTTTTGTGTAGAAGATGGTATATTATATGTGCAGCACCAGAACGTCCCTTTGAAAAGTAATTTGCATCTGCTTTGTGACCTCTGGGATCCTACAGCAGCACATGGAAAGCCAAAAGAGGTCACGATCAAATCCCTCAGGACTCATTCACTGACTGAACTTTGACCTGAGCCCTGAGTTGCCGATCAGGGGTCCAGTGACCTAAAACTAAATCCAAGAGCTATTGTAATCGTACAGGCGCATATATTCTGTGTGAAACGTGAATTAGAAATAGTTGATGAATGGATAATTATATGCACATTCATAGAGCAATGCGTGATTTGCAATATAACCAACAGGGTGCAGCGTAGCACAGTATTTTAAAACAGATTAGGTTCTGTAATTCTCAAATTTGTTCTGTCAAATCGTTGTTAAAGTCTTTGTCATTCTTGAAAGAAAAGGAGAGAAAGGAGAAAAGAAGGAAAAAGTTTTAATTCAACATAATTTTTCAATTTCAACTCCTGCAGTTTAAAAGCAAAACAGCTCTGCTTCCGCTCAGGGACTGCAGAGATCTCATGTAATATTAACATCACATTACCCATGAAGGTTTTATTACCATCTCGCAGTAATCCCTTTTCTGCTCGAGGTACACACAAAGAAAAACTGATTAATATTTGAGACGTATTTTAGGTTTTTTTGTTTTTTTTCTTGTTAATGCTTTTCAGAAATATTGCTACCTTACAAAGTTTTTCATACTTTATCATGTAGAAAGAAAAAAAAAATCTGCTATTTTTTTTTTTTTTGGGATTACATTTGACAGACCAAGACAACATAGTGAATTATTTAGAATAGTACAAAAATTTCCAAATAATTTCTACTGTTTTATGCAGACAAAAATCTGGAAAGTGTGGCATGCATTTGCATTCAGTCAACATTGCGTAGGACCAACTGTCACTGTAATTACAGCTGCAAGTCTGCATGTATGTCTCTGTTGTCTTTGCACATATAAAGTGTGCATATTTTTTTAGATATATTTCTCAACAAAATAGCTCCATCTCAGACTGAATGGAAAATATCTGAGCAGGAAAATCACATCTTACTTATTCTGAGTTGTACATAGGGATGGACTTTGACTAGCAGATGAATATGCATTAATCTAAGCAATTGCATTGTACATCTTGTGTATTTAGGGTTGTTGACCTGACAGATGGTGAACCCTCACCCTAGACTCAAGTCTTTTGTGGCCTCTAACATAATTTATAGATGAATTGCTCCATCTCAAGTCTCTCCGAGCAACTTTCCTTTCCCCTTTAAAGAATACCTGCAGCATTATGCTGCCACCACGACCAGATTACACAGTGTAGATGATGATTTAAAGATGATATAAAGTACAGGTTAATTTCCTACACATTATTTTGCATGCAGGACCAGAAAGCTCTGTTTTGGTCTTCTATTTTACTCCTAGATAACAAACTGCAAACAGGAGGTCTTATGGCTTTCTCTCAACAATGACTTTCCTGAGCTCTGCAGTGACTGTTGGTTGCTATTTTGATCAATACTCTCTTTGTCTGTCTTGTGGTCAGTCATGTCTCAGTAGGTTTGCAGTTGAGGCATAGTTTTCACATTTTCAAAACATTGATAAAACCATGTTCTAATAGAAATGTAAAGCATGGGATGTCACTTTATAATCTAAATCTGCTTTAAAAATCTCCACACTGTGTTCATGAGTCCTGTGATGCTTTTTCTAATGTTCTGTAAATGTTCATCCTTTACAGTACACACATTTTCATCAATATAACGAACCCTATTTAACAAATCAAGTTTCTGAAATACAATATTTTGCACTAGTTTTTATTTGGGGGTATCAAGTTATAGAGGGCTGAACATGAACACCTATCAGTCTTTCAAGATTTTCATTTTTATTAGCAACATTTTTGAAAACCGTGAGACCAAATTCATTTAACTTCCCAGGTATATGGTACTTCTTGGGCTATCACATAAACTTGACATTTTTGTCCACCCATCCATCCATCGTCTTACACCCTTACCGCATCGGGGCCATGAGGGGTGCTGGTGTCCATCTCTAGCTGTCAATGGGCGAGAGGTGCATTTTTGTTCATAACATTAAATATAGGGAAATAATTAAATGCATACGTTTGCAGGAATGAACTATTTCACTGGATGCAATATTTTCTGAGTTTGTTCACTTTGGTTTCATTGACACAGAAAGGACAAGAACGGTATAAACGTCCTATAACTATCAAAACCAGATTTAATGAATGCAGCATTTCATGAAGAGACATTTATTACATCAGTAGAATACATCATGCCAAAAATCAGCAACAGCAGCACTTAATTTCCTCACTCCCACTGTTCATCTGACAGGCCCCATATATTTCCTCCTCATAACGATAATCTTATCACACGCGCATCCACCACTCTGCTGTTCAGCTTGTCTCATTCATTTTGAGACTGAAAAATCTCCCAAGGACGCTTCCAGCGGCTTCTCATCTTCCTTCCAAACGTGGATGAAGCTTGCACAGAGTTGCAGTCATCTGACAGGGCAATGTTTGTGCAAAGCGAAAATGATCATTGTCCATTGTTAGATAAGCTGGCATGTGGAGACTGGGATCCATGGGGAAATCTTGTTGAGTTCCTGTTTATAACATGTACACTGCTTGGAGTATTAACAGAAGCAGGAGGGCATTTTTTCAAATCGCTCCTATTGTGTACTACAGCATAAGCAAGAAACAGCTTAAAGGTGACAACATTAGACTAGTTCATCATCGCTATAGTAGAACAAGAACACTACACCAGTATTCACATGCACTACTACACAGTGGTATAGTTGATTAACATAGACCATAGTATTTTATTTTTCACAGTTACATTCAGGGTTTGTGTTTGTGCACTGTTCAGTGATGGTTTTAGTCAATTTGATTATGCTACATGCAGTGAATGTACTGTGTTACACTGCAATGTCTGCATAAAATATGGATGTGTTAAAAGTACATTACAGTATACTGGCATATTGCCCAATGCATTTGATATTTAATGCATGTGATAACTAATAAAATGCTTAACATCTTCTACATGTGATAAAATTTATTTTTATTTTTACCTAAGTGGTCCAGAAACAAGTTAGAAAAAAGAAATACCTGCTTATAATATATCACAATGTACAGAAATGTTTAACATTAAATATGCACGGGTGCAGAAACAAAGCAGACTGACAGAATAATTAAATAAACATGGAAGAACTCTGCTCAGCATTTTGGAAAGTGAGACAATGCGGCTTTCAAAATGCTAAAATTGGAACGGTTCAGATGAAAAATAATAAAATCTCTTTGTCTAGGAAGCTTATCTAGGGCACGGACACACAAACACACATACGAGTACAAAACTTTCCTGTTTACAAATGTTCTGCAAACTATTTTTTTTATAAGTAGATTTCTACTTTGGGCAAGTAACACAAACTAGATAATTGAAATTCATTCCCTTTCTTCTGATAAGATTATTATAGAATACAGTATTTACACATGCTGACAGGAGTTGCATTGGAGAACCAATGATAACCAATGATTTTCAGTTGCAGTTTTCAGGCATTTAACACTGACTAATTCAAAACTTATTGTTTATTGAACTGCTTGCTAAATCACCTTGGAAAAGTATTTATACTCACTGAACCTTTCCACATCGCTATGTGACGCTACAAGTGTCAACATTCACCACATTACCACTTTTTGTAAGTAGAGCAGAATGAAAAAGTACAAGGAAGAAGATACATGATTTTAATTTTGTTTAAAAATGTAAACCTAAAAAGTTTATCCTGCGTTAAATTTGATAGTATGATTTTATCTCATGTGAATACAATAGTTCTGTAAATGCCTCAGAGGTTTACTCAGAGGTAGATAACATTAGAGCACAGACATGAAGATCAAAAAATATATCAGACAAGTCAGGAATAAAGTTATGTAAATGATTAAGGCAAAGTTAGAGTATGCAACATTTTATACATTATCCAAAAGATTTAGAGATTATGGCACCAACTGCATAGCTAAAAAGACATGGCCGTTTGCACAAATGAATAGGTCAGGGAAGAAGAGGGTGAATTAGTAAAGCAGCAAAGAGGCCAATGATATGTTTGAAGGAGCTGCAGAGATAAGCAGCTCATGGGAGAATATGTCAACAGGACAACTGGACATTTTTAGATACATAACACACAGCATCTGGCATTAATAGGATGAATAGGGAAAAAATGTTGTAGGAGACCTTCAACATTTCTTCCCCATGGGAGCAAAATGCAGTAGATATATCTTTCCTTGAACAAAACCTATTAGAACATGTATCTTTTTTCTTACACTTCACATTATGCAGTACTATTTATTCATTAGAAGAATGCCTACTAAAATAAATAGATGTTTTGATTACGTGATGACTAAATGTGAAAAACTTTAAGGAGTATAAATACTTTTGTAATGCACTTTAATTCTCATTGCATTTTTTGAACTGTGTAACTTGTTGATGTAATGAACTTGCAAGTTCACTCATACTCATAAACAACTTCGCCCGGTCTCATTGTTGCGTGAGGTAAAATACAGTATATAGTTTTAGTTATTTTAGGCATTTTGCAAACTTAGAAACATCACCTAACTACATTACGATGACCACATCTCATTGCCAGTCACGTCTACAGGATGGGCACATTTGTCCATCGTTTTGTGCGGAGTGGCCCTACCGCTCTGCATTGTTCATGTCACAGAGGCCAGCAGAGATGATATGCTCCAATGGTCTTCGATGATACAACAGCATCCTTTTTTTTTTCTTTTTTTTTTTCCCCGTGGGCTGTAAACAAAACTGCCCACGCTTAGATCACACTAGTTTGCAGATAAGAGCAGCATTTATTTATTTATTTATTTTCTGTTCAGTGTGTGTAGGATATGTATGTTTCAAAAAACAAATAGTTTCAGGTATACAGAATGTGATCCGGGAGTGATCTGAAGCGTCGTGGTCAAAGTCAAACCGTTACGGGTCAGACACTGCGAGGGGCTCGCTCCAGTTCGTGGGTCCTGCGGTTGCGACCCTTCTGTCGTTCTTGAAGGTGCTTCCACTTGGATGCCAGGCCTTGAGCATGCATGTTGTTGTGAGAGCTCGGTGCAGCCTGCTGCTGCTGCTGCTGATGGTGTGTTTGCACTTTTTGGACATGGTGAGCTTTCTGTCGCTTGTGCTTTCTCTCTCTTTTCCAAACTTGATCACAGAAGTCGTCGACACTATTGAGAGTTGGGTGATTGACTAAAGACAGAAAGTCCCTGTACCAAAGCTTTTGACTGGGAGTTTCTCTGGACAAGGAAAAGTCCTGAGCTGGGACAATGGTAGCTGTATCTTCATCGCGATGCAAAAGATCCTCCAGCCGCTCTGCGTCAATCACTTCAAGGTGAACCTTTAAAACTATCTGCATGAAGCCATGTTCCACTGCCTGGCACAGATAGACGCCTGAATCCTTCTTGTCAAGAGTGCGGATCAGAAGACCTTGTTCTGTTCGAACGAAACGCTCCTCTGACTTGATCTGAGCAGTGAGAAAATTGGAAGCGATAAGAGACGGAGCGAATGAGAAACTTCGGAACATTAAAATGAGCTATTAACATTTACTGTAGCACAAGAATCTAATCGGCCATGCTGCTCATTGTTCTCTTTTTAATTTCATAAACTGGATTTTATTTGAGTCAGCAGCGGTATTAAGCAATGATAAGATGTGTTTCCTAATAATTTATTCAAACGTCTTCATATTATGGAATTATTTATCACTATTTATCTGCTCTGCAAGCTAAGTGTCTCTGAGAAAATTAAAACAAGACAGAATGTTTAAGGATAAGATGAGCAAAGGATGCTTACTTCCTGTTTGTGGTCATCAGCGGAGCGCTGATACTGCCAGTATGTAGTGGCTCTCTGGGACTTGGGCACACATTCGAGGAAAGTGCTGCTATTTTCCACACCATAGACGGTTCTATCGAGGATGGTTGCCTGTCCGCTGAGTTCATCTGGTAAAAAAAAAAAAAAAAAGATTTTAACTAGATTTAGTGATTGTTTTGGGGATTTTCTCGTAGGTTTCTCTGAATATGTTAATTGGTAAAAGTGAGTCAACAACAAAAGCAACACACTCTGCGTTTTCTGACAAGAATATATAATTTAATCAAGTGTTACCATGTTAATGACAACATAAATTAATAACACAAATAATTTAAATCTGATTACATTTTTCTGACTGTTTATCAAGATATTTATTGAAAGTACAAAGAAATAAAAACTGATATGCAGCAAGTTAAGTTGCTACAAAACTGCTTACTGGTATGAAATGAATGCATGATGAGGCAAAATGTGGGCATCTATTTGCTTAGGGATGAATTGAACTGAAATTATTTTATTTCAGCAGATAATTGATTTTGTTCAGAAAAAATGTGTCTGTCAGTGCAAAACGTTTGAAATATTTTCACGAGTTAATTTTGCAGTAATTTTACATTAAGAGATACATTTACAGTTGTTTTCTCTGCAATGTGTTTAGTTTTATATTTTGGCCAAAATGTGCAGTCAACAGTGTTGCAGAAAACAGTTAATTGCTTGTGTACTGTTAGGGTTTAATGATCTTCTTCCTAAGTAAGAGAAGAAAAAAATATGTAATTGAGGCAATGATAATATTAAAGCAGAAAATGAATCTTGACTTTGAATCATGAAACATGTCAGCATACTAGAGGCCTCGCTAACAGCGGGGAGGCCTGAGGGAATCTTGACTATGCTAATTACTAGTCTCACATGAACCAGTGTTGATTTTCACATCACCAGAATATGAAAAATATGGATAAAACACCAAACTGAGATTCCAGTTTTGGTTTCGTCAAGGAATAAAATCTCTGCTCGTTAGAATTGCCAATGAATATCACAGTTAAATGTTTTCTTCTTTAAGGACCTTGTTGCTGCAGATCTGAGCACTGGGTGAGTGGGTCTCCGTTCCTGATATCTTGCCTTCTTGTTCTCCTGGAGAAACACAAGCATAAACAACTTTCATGAGTCAGCAGAAACTCATGAAAGTTTCTGGTCACATGTGTGTGTGTAGGCATGTTTTTGAATGAGTTTTGGGTGTGCAGCGAAACTGCAGGCCAACATTAACGGATAAACAGCAGGCAACCCATGGCTTAGCTGAAATACTTTAATTACGGGGTGTGAATGATGGAATTTAACATAAATCAATCACTCCAAGCTGTCATCTTTCTGGAGTACAGATGCTAAGGAAGATCTGGATTATTATCAGACACCACCTCCAGGATATTTTCTGTACACAAATATTTGAAGCAGCTATGGAAACGCGGGAAGCAAACTGGCGAGATCCGCCCATCTTCTTTATATTGTTCTAAACCTGAGATTGTGTGATGATGTCTGAGCTGCCATGTTGACCACAATGCCATTAAATTTCAAATGCTGGAGTCTAACTAACTGTGGGAAAATAAGTAAGGAAAACAAATCAAATAAAGGTTTACTTTCACTATGTTAACGTTCTTGTTGATTTCAGAATGACAGAACATAAAGGTCCACAGTTTTCTTTGCCAAACATAACAAAGACACTCTTCCTGAGAAGCAATAGTTAAAGAAATAATTACATTTGCATCAATGACAGCATTACATCAGAACTGTGCAAAATCCCATGAACTTATTCCTGGAGCTAGATTGACTAATAAGTATTATCAGCTTTTAAGTATCATATGGTCATATAAAATGTATCCTAACTGAACAACCATCTTTGAAATTTTGACTGGCTTCACTGCAGAACATGTTCATGAGATGGTAAGACATAAATAAAAGTTTGTTTGTGCTACCTCTTTGCCATTGGAAAATATCTGGAGCATTCTGCGCCATCCCATGCACAGTAAGGGTCCCTCGCCAAGCAGCATTCAGCACAGGCCTTTCCATAAACCTCACAACGGTGTAGAGGCATCTGAGACACACCGATGTCTGATCCAAGATAGAGTTGTTGCTATAAAGAGAAGGAATCAGATGGTCAATCTTACATTACTCATGATTTGGTAAACAAAGTTCAGCGGGGTATTTTTAGATCAGGGGGAGTGTTGTACATTTTTAATTGTAAAATATTTCCTACCTATTGTAATATATATATATATATATATATATATATATATATATATATATATATATATATATATATATATATATATTACTGTGCAAATAAAGCCAAGTTCATGTCAGCAGTATAGTTTTTCAAGTAACAAAATCCTTGACTCAGGTCTGAAAAATGTTGGTCGACTATTTAGGGAGAATTGTTCAGCCCCCCCTCCTACCTGTCAATTAGTTGGCTTGTTTTCATCTCCCTGTCATTTCAGCTTACAAGCTAACTGTCACTGGAAAGCCAGCAATTTAGGTTTATTTATGTGATGAGATGGGAGCTTATCTTAAAGTCTTTAAATAGTGGAAACAAAGATATCTTTGTTCCGTCTCTTTGCCCTGAAGGCGTATTACCCCAAAAAAAAAAAAAAAAAAAAAAAAAAAAAAAAAACTTTACGGGCAGGTTTTCTCAAAACAACCGTCATGCATAAACAGTCGTCAAAGGCCATTATCACACAGGCCGTTCACGTTATTCTTTGTGAAAACCAAACTGCCCATGCTTATGCTTAGATCATATATATAAATATGATGAATAAAAATCTGTACCTGTTTCGTTGAAAGTTCCATGGCTGTAATTGCAACTGGTTCCTAAAAAATGAAAGAAGGGGAAGCAATAACTATACAGAGAGTGTTGATTCTAATGTTTCCAAAGAAGTATTACCGGGTGACACGGAGAACAACTTACTCTGAATACAGTCATTTCTTCCAATAACACTTCTTCCAGGTCATGCCATGAATTTCTTGGGATGGCTACAACTTTCAGAACTGTTCCCATGTCTGAGAAGGCACAGAAAAAGCTCACACTTTTGTGACTGTTATTCATTAACTTTGCAGAGTTGTCTTAATTTTTTTTTTTTTTTTTTTTTTTACCTGTGCCGATGAACATAACATCATACAGGCCATCTTCAGCTTCCACCTTATCCACTACCATTTTAGTGAACTGGTAGTCTACATCTGTTTTGACTATTATTGGTTTATTATTAATTGGATAGACAGGATTAAACATGGCTGGGTGACTTCTAGCAAAAGTGACCACTTCGTCAGGAAGGTCCTTGGTTGTGTCAAATCCACCAAATGTTTTGCTAGGGCACTGCATTGAAGGAAAAAAACAAAACATAATATTAACTATTAAAGAAAGACAAATCAAAGGGAGTCCTGTTGGGCTCTAAGCTCAGTAAACAGAGCTACGGACTCACCGTGCCGGGCCGGGGGTAGGGTACACGCCCCTGAAAGGGGACCCACTGATAGCTGGGTCCGTCCCTATGAGCATATGGACCCAAGAAAGCTCTTCTTATGTCTGCCATGCTGTACATACACACCGCTGAACCTTTAAAGACGTTGCTGTGCAGAAAACAATAAATGAGAATAACAAATAAAACATGTGCTCATAAACCACAATAAATATATTTATATATACATTATATATAAAGCCTTTTATCTCCTGTAAAATACTTTATCTACCTGGAAGTTGTAAATACTCCATAGATTACTGGGCTCTTAGGATCCTTGGTGCTTATGAGAAAGACGTCCTCTAAAACCAAAACAAAGGTGAAAACAGATTACAGATGTTCTGCACCAAAACAAATATTGATTAATCTTATTCATGCGATAAGAAGAAAGCACTCACGTAGTTCATCAAAATGTGTGTCTATCCCATTACTGCCCGGCACAGAGCAAATCAGTCGGGCTTTCAAGAAAGTTGTCCACTTATTTACTAGGCTCCTGTGGCCCCCAAGGTCATTCTAAAAGACACATTACATGTTATATTTAAGAGAAGTGGTTTACATGTAACACCCTTGTGTTAAATGTTTGGAACAAACTAACTTTCTTGATCTGCATAAAACATTAAGTCTAAATGTAGCGGAGAAAATGCAAAGCTCGTGTTATTTAAATTCTCCACAAAACACCAAAACAAGAACATAATGCAGCATGTGTTACCTCCAGTTAAGCCGACTGACTGGCAAGTAGAGTTGATATTATTATGCTGGTTTAGACATGCTTACTTTTGAAAGTAACTTCTATACAGACTCAGATGGAAAGAGTTGGAAAAAGTTAAGTCTTGCCAATGTAACTTTGATTTAAAAAAAAAACTGTTTAGAAACTTACTTTTAATGTCTGGTATTGTAGCCTTTGTCAAGTTATATAATATTACATTAATTGGTAACACAAGATGCAAAAGACTGTTTAAAAGCTTTGTTATTGTTTCAAGATAGGAAAACTCTGTCCTACGAGCTGTCGCAGAAAATTATGACCACCCAAGGCAAGAAGGCTACAAAAAAATTGGAATGTTTTTTGTTTTCTTAAATGCAAAATAATTAATTATAAATCCTGAAGAAAAATACAAATTAGTAAAAATATTTTTACAAAAAACTCATTATCGTTAACTGCCCACAAAATTGTGATCTATGAATGATAAATCTCCAATAAAAATTCAACTTAGTGTCAAATTCCAGTAGAAGTAAAAATGGTCCACTAAGTACGTGGTAAATCTATTCATCTTGGAGGATTTGAAGCCTAATTCTTAAATTCTGTTTTAGTGACAAAAAGCTTTCTAGGTGTTTTAGAGTTAGAAGACTAGCAAACTCTCAAACTTCAGTGAGCGGTGTTTGTTTCCTTGAAGCAGCACGCAAACATAAATTCACGTTGTGCTCCCTCATACAAACGCATTCCATGTAAGCTGATTTATAGCAGCAAATTAAAATCTGTGCAAATGTGCATGGGTTCAAATTATTACCACAACTCGCATAATGAAAGGATTGTCTTCTGCTGAGGACAGCAGATTCCAAACATTCTTGGTGATCAGGCTGTTATAAAGGAAGGCTGATCTGCAATAAACAGGGGTTTAAGGCTGGACTTCAGATCTGAAATATACTGATTTTGAAGGATGTGGACCTTGAAATCTGACACTTGAGCTCAGATGTAGCAGAGTCAGAACTGGGGCGGCATTGCTGCCATCACAGCCTATCACGTTCCGGTGACATTTTGACTCTCTCTCAGGTTTCAGTCCCTCTCTTTAGAGGCGATTGCACAACATACAACACAACCTAAGCTTTTTATGCTGAAAATAATTACAGATCCTGAAAGATATCAGCATGGAAAGCAACTCATTTAACAGTCAAGGGTTTTTTTTTGTTTTTTTTTTTTTGCTTGTTTTTTTTTTAGACCCCAAAGCTGTTTCTCAAACTGCTTGAGATTGTGTTTGTGCCTTTGTTGAAAGTGATATTTTTGATTTACTTTTCCTGTCTGATGACCTGCCTTCATGTATACATGCCTATGTGTATACTTACTTTGCAGAGCTGTCCAATGCGAGCATAAGTGGCTTTTCCAGCATGTTCTCCATCCATAGCATTCTCTCTGAAGAACAGGTAGATTTTGTCATCCTCTGGATTGTCATTTTCTGGGATCAGATGGACACCTACAAATCTAGGATCTAGAAGGGACAAGTTAGTGTCAAAGATTTATTCACTTAATATTTTATAAAAAAAAAAAGTCCATACATAGGCCCCTGGATACAGGAGCTAAAGGAACAGACGTTCTCTCAGTTTTGAAAGTGGGGATGCACACTTGTGTTTATTTCTGCAAAGCCTAATCACGCTCTAAAGTATTTATAAATGTATATAGTTTCTCTCAGTTCTTATTATTCTTTTCAATTAGCAAAAAATAGATATTTTAAATATGATTTATATTTATATATGATTTAGCCCCACCTTTCCTCACCTGAGAGTTCACTTCTGCTAACTCATTCAGATGAAGTCACTTCAACTGAACATGATCTCTGTGTAGGACAGGTAATAGTCATGGACAGAAACAGTTAAATAATTAGAATATTAGTGATCTTTTAAAATGTTCTAACATTGGTTTTGGGTTAGTCTTTTTCCCTAATCAAGCAAAGTAGAACCATTTTCGGCAGTGAAGGTTAGGTCTGCAGATGGCGCAAACCGGCGACGAATTTGCAAGAGCGCTGCCTACCAGTGACATGCTAACTTCATCACTTGTAAAAGCATAATCTCAGAGACTATTTTTGATCTAATCCCATCTGTGAAATATTTTAAAAGTTTATTAATCACTTATTAAAACTGCTTAGGCGGATGATAATGTGATGAAGCGCTGTGTCACTACTTGCATCCAGCTCACATTTGCCAGGACTGATGTTGTGTATTTTTCGAAACTTACGTCCTCATTTAACAACATAATCATGTACCCATGCACATACTTATGAAGTATCAGACAGGAAGGGTGGAAAAGATGAAGCAGAAAACAAATATCATAAAAAGCCAGACAAAGAAAATACTAGAGCATATATCCTCCACTGCTCAGACTAACCTAGGGACTTAGATTTATAATAACAACTACAGAACTCAGACATGTGCCTCTGGCCTGCATGGTGTCTGGAATAATAAAAAGAAATTGTATTAAAACTGAAACGTGGAGAGGCTGAAACAATACATATTATTCTTCATGCTTTGCGTATGAAAGGCAGTATTTTGACTCACATGGAGACAGGCTGGTGCTCCTCAGCTAGAACGAGTGTGGAAAACTAATGTAATACTCACCGGCTTTCAAAACTCTACGCTTGCCTGTTAAAATTCCAGGCTTTTGTGAAGTAAAAAAATTACCATGATAAGTCAATTTAGAAAATAATTTTCATATTCTTTCATATATCACGTATAATTTAGCTGTAAAGCAACTCAATCTATAAGGTTAGGGAGCATCTTACATAATGAGAATCTGCCATCCGGATATTGTTTAGTTCTTTTGGTCTGTTCAGGAGTATGGTGGCACAATATAGCTAACCAAAATATCAGCATGTGTCATATTAATTCAAAAGTATTGTTAGGAGTGGTGTAATTGTTAATTCATTCAAGGTATCATAAAGTTATTTTTTCCATATCAAAAATAAATTGAGCCTGTTGGACTGGAGTCTCAGTCCATTAGATGCGCACATTACAGTCCAAGATTCCCAAGCTCACGGTGAATGTTGGAAGCACAGGCACAAAATATGAGGATTTAGGATAAGGTAGATTTATTCCAATTTTGGTTTTTAAAAGAAAGTTTAGATGGTAATATAGAAATACAAATTAAAAATGTGAGTAGTTTTGTTTGCTGTTTATATTGTAACTATGTATCTCCATGAATTCAGACAAAAGTTCACCTTCAAAGAAAATTATACCAAAGGTTTAAAGACAAGGCCATGAAGCGGATTCCTCATCGTTAACATAGATGATATGGTGATGTGTAGCATGATATGGAAGTATGAATTGGTGAACAGACAAATTAACCCTCAAAATGCTGCAGTTATTATTTATTAACACTGAAGCTAAGAGACAAATCAAGGCACAGGGTCCTCCAAACCTACCATTTAGCCACCTGGAGTCGTGTTGCTCTGTTCTGATAGGATGATGCTTGCCAAGAGTGCGAAAGATGGCAAAGTCCCGCCCCATGAAGTCGGCTGATGTTCCAGCATACAGCTCCCCATCTGAGAGGGAGAGGATTGATTAGTGTTAACACAGTAACATGAGACGAGGCCGCCTGCTTTTCCCCGTGGGTTCTGTTCAGAAATCCGAGGAATTGAGCGGGGGCTTAGCAGCAAAGGTAGATTTCACGTCCACGGTGAACAAAGACATAACAAACATCGGGAGTGTGAAATCGACATTAAAACAGAAGGCAGGGCAGAGAAAGGAGGTGAGGACAGGATGAACGGATGGTGGGTCAGATGCTGGGGGAGAGAACAGAAGTGTGAGACAAGGGGAGTACATAATAATGCTGGTGAGAAAGGAGAGAAAAAGGGGAGAGGAGATAAGGGGTGATGGGCTGGAAAATAGCCATCTGCTTGGGTAAATGAGGTGGTATAACACAATATGATCACACATAATTGGGGGTAAAGAGAAATACCATGCTCATGCACCCCTGCTTTATTTGCCAGAAAATGGGAGGAGGGCGAATTAGAGCAAAATAGACTCGGTACCATTGACCACACATGTGCACCATTTAAATGTTGTAGATGCAGACTGAAATAAAGTTTACAGTCCTGCCAATGAGAGGTTCTAAGTGTGTAAATACAAAGCAGCGAAGGATGTTCCTGTTCTGCTATTTACATTGACGTCACACGCCGTGTTCCCACTGAAATGAAAGAGCAATGCACGGGGCTTCACAGGGATTTATTGCACACATGCACTCCGTATCTTTCCATAAACTCACCAATTAGCCTTGAAGCGGTGAGAAGCTTAGGGTCATAGGGACTCTTCCCTCTGCCATTTTCTACATGGGGCGCCAGTCTGAAAACACCATCCTGTATACACATAAAGACAGAAAATCAGTGAGGTATTACAGCATGCTATCAAACACAGACAGTGAACGTAGCTTCCTGCCCATGTAAATTCCACACACAAAACAAGAGCTCCAGTAGAAACAGAGTTTTCTCCGGTTGCTGTCAACACTTCATGACACAGTACTTTCTTGCGAAATCTTTGTGGAGGGTTTTAACATCACTTTTTCTTTTATTTACAGATTTGAGCTCAAATGTTGAGTCATATGATGTTTGACATTTGCTTTTGTCAGACATTTCCTTGCATACGCACTGAAGACATAGCTAAATGTGTTGTCTATAGTGTGCGCTCTTCAAACCTTTTGAACTTGTTACAAACATGTTACAAAAACAAGCTTCAATTAATGTAACTGGGAGTTTATGTGACACACCAGCATAAAACAGTGCATAGATATGAAAAAAGGAAAACTGCAAAATCTAAAAAAAAAGAAAGAAAAAAAACAGAATATTTTGAAGAACTCACCTTTCATGCAATTACAGTAGCAATATTTTATGAATATATAGCTACCACTTTTGTCCAAAATATAAGCCGCACCGGGCTATAAGCCGCTGGTATCTCTGCTGTTCTCGGTTTTCCATAAGCAATAAATCTGCTCTGGAACCCAGAACCATGGATTCGTTCACGCCGAGTTTACGTGCAGCGTAAACTCGCCGTACTGCCTCCTGTATTGCCAGATCGATAGCCCTCAACTTAAAAGTTGCATATGAGTTTGAAAAAATGTTCAGCCCTGCTGCTAGCATGCGCTTGTTCTAAATTAAAATGAGCACTTTCTTCTTTGGTTTCCAATTTTGACTACCAATGATTCACTTACTGCTAAAGAGCCTCTGGCGGTTGAAAAAAATCCGCAGAAAAAGCCGCATGGTTCAAAGCGTGGGAAAAAAGTAGCGGCTTATATACTACGGTACCTACCAGCAGCATAATGCCATTTAATAGAACCGAAGACAACATTTCTAACCACTGTGACTCAGTGACCTCAGCACTAATCAATTGCATTTCTACTTTATGATCCACGCAGAGTTGATGGCGTTTCTCAGGGACATTTCCTTCCCCTAATGGTCCGTAAATAGTCGCCCAATTAGTGGGAAACTCACATTTATAGGTCTGGCATTTGGAGGAGAGGAGAGTAATTTTCATTTCTCAAATTTAAATGAGCAGTATGCACAGACGTTCATGTAAACATACACTGTCTAACACCGCAGTAGTTCACCAGAGAAATGAACTGATATGTGGTGTTTAATGTTCTTTTAAGCTTTTTTTCTTATTTTATTGAACCAAACCTGTTTATATTTAGTTGTTACAACATCTCCATGTAAACATGACCAAAAAGAATCTGAAATACTGACAACTAGCTAAAACATAAAGCCTGTCTAGTCTTTTCCTGTGTGTATTTGTGTTGTGTGTGGCAGTAGATATGGACAAGAACAGAAATCTAAGCTGTACCTCTGGTTTCTTGCCCACCTCCAGATAGGAGCATACAGGGTGGAAGGCTCCTGTCCCACAAACATAGAAGTGGCTCTGGTTGAAAGGTTGCAGTACCTTGATGAAATGTGCACACTCTCTCTGATGAGGGAAAGACAGAGAGCAAACAAAATTGTTTCACAGTAATTATTGTGTTGCAGTTCTGAACATTTTAATGTGTTGGGTTTCAAATTGAACATAAATGACAGCAAGTTTAAATTTATTCATACAAAAAGTCAATTTTCCTCTTCAATTTCTCTTAAGTGATTCAAGCAACAGGACATTTGCACTTTTGTCTGCTTTTCTCATAGTTTCTTTTTTTTTCTTTTTTGTTTTGTCTGCTGTTTGGTTTACAATAGTTTAGTCTTTCAGCTATAAATATAAAGTGAATTACTGCTGGGATTTCAGAGGATGCCTCCTGAAATCTGAAGTTTTATTATGTGTTGAACTTTATCTTCAAAATCAGCTGCTGCTGTTGTACATATATTTGCATGACAATCATATTCATAACTTAATTGTGCATACAATAGTACTATAGTGTGTACCACCTTATATTCATTGGTATTTTTTCATGAAATAATTTTAATATTTCAGTTATGCTCGCATTTCAACTATGTTTCTGAATGTCAAACATCCATCAATCCTCTTTTGTTCCTCACTACATTGTAGAAATGTTTGTTTTAGACTATGATGTGATATTTGTGGATAGCCTTTCCTTTTCTCTCCCCCTCACTCTCATCTAGCTCTGTAAAAGATAACCATCCCTCAGGGTGCCTCCTTATACATTTCAAATCGTTTACAGAAAACACACAGAAGACTTCACTGGCCTTCTGCTCCGCAGCACAGGCAGGCGAACTGACCGCCAGAGGCACTTGCCCTATTCTAGTGAAAAAAATCTAAGCCACAAACAGCATCAATATGGTCTTACATCCAAGCTTTTTGCCTGAGGGCCTTTGAAAGATGAACAACAAACACGCTACTTGAAGGAAAGCAGATTCAAAACAGTAAGTGTATTTACATTGGGGTTTCTGAAAACTGAGACATTTTTACCAAGAGCCATGGGATTGTGATGTATTCTGTGATTTTTATCCAAATTGACTTTATATTTGTACTTATCTTAAATATTCACTTTTGTTCTAAACAAATAAAGTCCTGGTTTTTAAATTCTCGTTTTATTTTTACTTAATCTGAAAATCACAACCTTATCGTGAGGTTTACAATTATTAACATTATAAATTAAATCGGCAGAAATTCCAGTAACAGATAATAATCTACGGTGGCCCTTAAGTGCAAACCACTTCAAATCTCTAAACACAACTATGAATAGAAAAACACAACATATAAAAAAAAAAAAACACAACATTAACTAAGTATAATTTCAAATTAAGAAAACACAGCAACATTAACAAAACAGAGGAGGTAGGGCTCAGTGGGAAAGCTGAGGCATTGATGATTGGATGATGGAATATTTTCTGATACTTGCTCTCTCTTTGTTTAGATAGGCCCAAACTGTGAAAAAGAATGAAGCTGAGCTTCATAATATGTCCCGACTCAAAATGTTCTTGGATAGCGGTAGCTACATGTGTATCACCTGCAAAATTCATATGATCAACAAATGTGCTAATGCCAGAATAATTTCTAGTTCTAAAGCCATGTAGTGTTGTCCAATCTGCTCTCTCTTAGGTTTCCTGCTGGTACCTATGTCTTCCTTTTTGTTGTGTTTTCTTAATTTGTAGTTGTGTTTAGTTAATGTGTTTTCTTAATTTGTAGTTGTGTTTAGTTAATGTGTTTTCTTAATTTGTAGTTGTGTTTAGTTAATGCTGTTATGTATTTAAATATGTTGTGCTTTTTGTAATTTGTGGTTGTGCTTAGTGATTTATTGATGTGGTTCAAGGCCGCCGTAATCTAGTAAAAACTACAAAAACAAGCAATAAAAGGAAACCAAAGAAACAAAGAATTCTAAAGGTTTGACTTCCAGATTCTTATGGTTTAATTAAGGATCTCAGTGATGACTCTACATCTTAAGTAGGCTTATAGTAACTGTGTAAGACATTTTTTCAACAGACAAGGAGAAATGATCCAAAACAGAAAAACAATGAAAGTCTGGGTTTTGGTGAAAGTCGTAAAATAGATATTCATAGGTTCCCATGAAAAGAATCCGCATGTTAGCTGGATGCCTTTAGCTCTTACCAGGAGATTTTTCCCTGCCCACTTGCATTCATCTCTTTTAGTGGGAGAAGCAGTCCAGGGAATCTGCAACACAAACATAGTTTCTGTGAAGACAGAAAAGCATTTCCCTGCACTCAGAATCATTTTTTGTGTTGGTGATTTACAGCTTGTGTGCATGGAAGTGTGTTTATGAGAGTTGAAGGGGTCACAAAGCAGTCTGTTCTCCACTTTGCTTCAATTTACGACATGATTCACCCAGGTGTGCAGAGTGCAGCTAACATGTCTGGAACAGTGCCTGACTGCGTGAGACAGCCCTCGTCTGAAATATACATGAAGCACTTTTTCTTTCGATTCGGAGATAAGAATCCTAAGATACCTGAAGCCAGCACTCTGGTTCGAGACAAATAGTCTGGTCCGAAACGGATTTAAAGTCAGAAATAAAATGAACTGGCAAGTATGTGGGCTCCAAATCATATGCTTTACCTGTGCTTTGTCTTTGCTTATGTTGAGGAGGTTAAAAGAAAAGATGTGGTCCTTGGCTCCCACCAGGAGCCTTCCTTTCTCCTCATCCAACAAGAGAGTGTGGTAACCCGAACTGTTAGCTAGGCCTTCAAATGTCACAAGGTTGTTGGTCTCCAACATCTCTGTGGAGAGAAAAATAAGATCAGTATGCTACAATGATTAAAAAAAAAAAAAAATATATATATATATATATATATATATATATATATATATATATATATATATATATATATATATATATCTAAAAAAAAAAAAAAAAGAAAAAAAACA